AATTAATAAGAAATAAAATATGCAACAAACCAATAAGAATTCGTGTAAACTTATTTACAGCAATCTTCTCAAAATTCCTACAAGAGCAACTCACAAGAACAACTGACGGAGCCGATAGCAGTGTCACAAACACACTGAGCAGGGATGCGCTGGAGCCCCTTTTTATATCCCGTACCTTCTGGGATTTCCCCTTCCTAGCGACGTCACAGTTATTGTGTCACGTGGCAACGTCATTCTAGTTTATTTGACAACTATGCAAAAATACAAGTCTAAGCATTATACTAACAAAGTCTTTCGTAATTAGGCTCACGCCGATACTGCGATCAAAATCATTAGCTTTCATCATGATTACAGATAAAGAATAAGACCATATATACATATAGAAACACAAATATGTGTTCTCGTGTGTTTTTCTATGCATGCATTTGGGTATCACATACATATATGAATACATATTCATACAAACTTACGTGTATATATAAAAACCCACACACATATCTAGTTTCTATGTATGCATGTATGAATATATATATCATTGTATGTACATATATGTTCATGTATAAATGAAAGAAAGATGGGTGGCGTAACCCTTTGCTCGCCCTAAGATTGAACTGAGGATGTTCTAATGCAGCATTAGTGTTGCTTCTTGCTTTCGGTGACGGAAAAAGAAGTGGTGGGCTCAGGTACACGATCTTCCAGGTAATTATCAGCAATTCTGGAGGCTCCCTTGTAAATGTCCTAACCTATAAATATTCTTGAGTACGTAGTGTTTGCGCTTATAATAAAGAATAGAATTACCTTTTTTGTTAACACTTATGCGGCGATCTGTCTCTACAGCCTTGGAATTGCCCGGGTCGATGACACAGCATGAGAGATATCCTCACCTCACTCTCATTCTTTCTCTCACTCACCCTCTCTTATTATTGTTGTTATTATCATCATTATCATTATTATTGTTGTCATTATCAACGTTATTTTTTTTGCTATTGTTATTTTTGTTGTTGTTGGTGTTGTTATTTTGTGTTTGTTATTATCTACATAATAATAATTAGTAGTAGTAGTACTATAATTAGTACTACTACTACTACTCGTACTATCTTATTATTATTTTCATCAGTCTTAATAGTACTATTATTATTACTACAACGATTATTATCATTATTGGATTATCTCTAACATAATGTTTTCATTGTCATTATCATTACCGTTATTGTTATTATTATCATTATTATTATTACTCCTATCATTATAATAATAGTAATAATAATAATATTAATGATAATAGTAATAATAACATCAATAATACTTATAACAATAATAATAATAATAATAATAATAATAATAATAATAATAATAATAATAATAATAATAATAATAATAATAATAATAATAATAATAATAATAATAATAATAATAATAATAATAATAATAATAATAATAATAATAATAATAATAATAATAATAATAATAATAATAATAATAATAATAATAATAATAATAATAATAATAATAATAATAATAATAATAATAATAATAATAATAATAATAATAATAATAATAATAATAATAATAATAATAATAATAATAATAATAATAATAATAATAATAATAATAATAATAATAATAATAATAATAATAATAATAATAATAATAATAATAATAATAATAATAATAATAATAATAATAATAATAATAATAATAATAATAATAATAATAATAATAATAATAATAATAATAATAATAATAATAATAATAATAATAATAATAATAATAATAATAATAATAATAATAATAATAATAATAATAATAATAATAATAATAATAATAATAATAATAATAATAATAATAATAATAATAATAATAATAATAATAATAATAATAATAATAATAATAATAATAATAATAATAATAATAATAATAATAATAATAATAATAATAATAATAATAATAATAATAATAATAATAATAATAATAATAATAATAATAATAATAATAATAATAATAATAATAATAATAATAATAATAATAATAATAATAATAATAATAATAATAATAATAATAATAATAATAATAATAATAATAATAATAATAATAATAATAATAATAATAATAATAATAATAATAATAATAATAATAATAATAATAATAATAATAATAATAATAATAATAATAATAATAATAATAATAATAATAATAATAATAATAATAATAATAATAATAATAATAATAATAAT